GGGTCACTGGCCGACGGCTGGGGCTGCTGAGCCGCCGGGCGTCAGGGTGGGCCGGCACCACAGCTTCCTTGTTCCTTGGGCTCTGCTTTCCACCCAGGCGGGCGCCGCGATCCGTGTAAGGCAAGGCCCGCGTGGAAGTGGACGGTGCGACAGGTATGCGAACCCTGCGGACGGAGGGAGAGAGGGAACGTGTCAGCAGGCGACCGAGCCCAGGGCTGGAACCGCAGCGCAGTTGGAGGCCCCGGAACCGCAGCGCAGGGCTGTCCACAGACCCGCATATATCCCAAAATAGCCACCAGGGCGGCAGACCCAGATTAGCATGAGTGACACATCAGGTGGGGGAGGCAGTGACAGATACAGAGGGGAGAGAGATATCGGGGAGGAGAGACAGGGACAGGCAGAGGCAGAAGTGACTGTGGGGAAGGGAAGAAGTAGCTGAGAAAGCAAGAGCTTTAGACCTGGGCTGTAGGCACACACCTGGTATATCTCAGCACTCTGGGAGGCTGAGGCAGGAGGATCACAAATTCAAACCCAGCTTGGGCAATGTAGCAAGACTCTGACTCAAAATAACAATTTTAAAAAGGGGGCTGGGGATTTAATTTAGCTCAGTGGTTCCAGCGTCTGCCTCGAGAGCACAAGGACCCAAGTTTGATCCCCGGTACCCCCCCAAATTAATTAATTAATTAATTAAAAGGATCAGGATGTGGTGGCTCACACCTGTATCCCAGCACTCAGGGGGTTAAGGCAAACGGATCACCACGAGTGGGAGGCCAGCCTGGGCCACATAGTGAGTTCAGGCCCACCCTGAATTAATAGCGAGACCCTGTTTCGAAAAACAAAACAAATTTTAAAAGGGTTGTGGGGGGGGGGGCCCTGGGATTTAGCTCAGTGGTTCACAAATGTAAAAAATGGTGGGGGGGGGGGCCCTGGGATTTAGCTCAGTGGTTCCGGCGCCTGCCTTGCAAGTGCAAGGGCCGGAGTTCAATCCCCAGTACCACAAATAAAAAATAAAAGGGCTGGGGATGTGCTTCAGTGAAGACCCTAGGTTCAATCCCCAGTATAAAAAAAATGACACATCAAGGTCAAGGTGAGAGAAGACACGGACAAACTGAGAGTTGTTGGGGAAGAAAACAGCTTAGCCAGCGAGGTGAACAACAAATGATTTCCAGTAAAGGGACGGTGCCCTCTCACACATTGCCCTGCATTGAGTTGATGTGGCCACATCTGGGATGGTTTAACTATTTATTTATTTATGTAGCTCAGGCAGTGGTCCTCCTGCCTCAGCCTCCCAAGTGCTGGAAATACAGATGTGGACCACCTTGCCTTGCCATCTGGGGTCACTTTAAATGCATATGCCCTTGAAGCCAGCAGTACATGGAGAAAGAGGCTCCTTATTTGCTGATGGAGGGGAAAAGGTGGGCCTTCTTCAGGATGAGGGCTGAGCACTGGGAGGGCAATCGCTATGCAAGCAGCAGTTTAGGAGATTGGACTTTGTGCACTGTAAGCAGTAATGGAACTGGCACAGCGGCCATGGAAAACAGTATTGCTGGGGTCCAGCCTCAGTGAGAGTTCGGGTCCTGAGGGAGGGCTGGAGTCGGCGCTTGTGAAGGAATGAGACACACTCTGTAGGGATGAGGTGCTGTGCCTTCCGAAATTGGAGGACGTCTTTATTTATGTCATATACTAAAGGTTACATACGGAAATTGGCATACGTTTACAATTTCTAGATAAAACTTTTAAGGTTATTTTTCCAATAAACTACAGCACATACCTATTTTATTATTGTTATTTCTGGGAACATTTTATCTATTGCCTCAGCTATTATTAATCAAACAATTTTCTAGTAAAGGCGTAAATGAAAGCAAAATCAAACGAACAATCCAAGCTTGCCACCTGTTTTGGCCACAATGGAAAGACTGAGGCCAATTCTTAGCAGGTCACTAGGTTTTGATAAAGAACTACTGTGGTTATTCAACTTCTTGATTAAACTTTTATATAGTCAGAAAGCAAGTATTTTGCACTTACTAAGCCTTTCTATAATAACGATTCCACTGCCTGGCAATAGTATTTACTTGTTCTTTAGTGTGTAGCCATCACTGTGTTCCTGAACATTTCATTCTTTCTGCAAAGGGCAAATCTTGATATCTTACTCATTTTTTACCTTTCCACACAATTCTAACTTCATCTATGTAAGCCCCAGTGTAGGAAACAGGGGAGTTTGCCTAGTGGCCATGAGATCACTCTACCACAAATCTTTGAGCACCTCTCTGGGATTTTTATAAGTAATTGGATGCTCGGAAGAAAACGGGGTTGGGGAGGCTCTTGTCGGAGTGAAATCCTCAATTATTGAAAAACTGGAAACCCCTTCAAAGAAAGTGCCTGGATCAGGGGTCGTGCTTAGGGGCTCGATGACAGACACCACTGACACATATTTCTCAGAAGTAGCTTGTACAGGTTTTTTCATTAAAACCAAATTTCCCATAATTACAATTAAGCCAATCAAAAGTACAAGCAAAAATAAAAGCCGGAGCGATGCTTTCAACCCAAGGCCTGTCATTGCTGGAACTTTGTCAAGCAGCAATAGAGGAACCGTGGGCCTCACCACAGTATGACATTTTCTCCAAAAATTCAAAGTAGAGGGCTGGGGATTTAGCTCAGTGCTTCTGCCTCTCAAGCACAAGGACCCAAGCCCCCCCCAAAAAAAATCAAAACAGAATCATGTGACCTGCCAATTCCACTTCTTCCCCCCCCCCTTTTTTTTTCCTGTGGTACTGGGGATTGAACTTGGGACCTTGCACTTGCCGGGCAGGCACGGCCCCACTGAGCCACATCCCCAACCCCAACCTATTCCACTTCTGAGTATGAACCCAAAGCTATCAAAAACAAGAAATCTAGCCAGGTGTGGTGGTACACGCCTGTAATCCCAGTTCTCAGGAGGCTGAGGCAGGAGGATCACCGAAAGTTCAAGGTCAGCCTGGGCCACATAGTGAGTTTCAGGCCAGCCTGAAATACACAGCAAGACCTTGATTTAAAAAAAAACACAAAATCAAAATATTTATACAGCATCATTACTCAAAATGGCCAAGAAGGAGGTGCAACCCAGTGTCTCTGGTGGACGAGTAGATAAATAAATGTCTGTGATACAATGGAATAGTATTTGGCTTTAAAAAGGAAAGACATTTTGGGCCAGGGATTTGGCTCAGTGATTCTGCTGCCTGCCTCACCACAGGCGCTAGGACTGGAGTTTGATCCCTGGTACCCACCCCCCAAAAAAGGACATTTTGCTTAACCAACATGACTGAACCACAAGGACATGGTGTGAATGAAACAAGAAAGTCACAAAGAGACAGATACTATGTTGTGTCACTTCTCTGAAGTCCCTAGCGACCCACAGCAGAATGGAGAGTTCCAGGGCCTGGAGGTAGGGGTGGGAGTTAATGTTTTTTATTTTGAGACAGGGTCTCGCTATGTAGTTCAGGCTGGTCTCAAACTCACGGCAATCCTTCTGCCTCGGCCTCCTGCATGCTGGGATGACAGGTGTGCAGGACCTTGGCAGAAGTTCTTCTTAGTGTTAGGACACAGAATTTCAGTTTGGAAAGAGGGAAACATTCTGGGGGTGGGAGGAGGTGATCCCAGAACAGTGAGAATATGCTCAGGGTCACTGAATTGTCACTTACTTGTGCCTTGCGTGTTGCTGTGTGGGCCGGCCTTGTGGCAGACACTGGCAGGGCTCTCCTGGGAGGGAGGCGGGCACCTGCAGGACTGCAGTAGGGCCAGTGCCACCCAGCCAGGACCCACACTCCACAGGGCCCTGCGCATACGCAGCCATGCACGGCCTCTCCACTCTCCTGCTTGTCCTTCTGGCCAGCCAGGCCGAGGCCTTTCGCATCTGCGCCTTCAACGCCCACCGGCTGACACTGGCCAAGGTGACCAGGGAGCAAGTGAAGGACACCTTAGTACAGGTACATTGGCTGTGGCATGCCCTATGCCCCAAGGACCATGACCCAGAGCCAGTCCTGGCTGATCTGGCACATGGCCAAGAGGGGAGGGGACATCTGGGCTTCGAGCACAAAGTTCAGAGGATGGTGCTTACTGTCGTCAGTTGGTCTTTCCCTCTGAACTATGGGTGACACTTCAGGTCCTGCTGCTCTTTGGGCTCTGGGCCAGCTCTGAGCAAGGCTGGCCTTCCTGTGTCCTGCAGATCCTGGCTCGCTGTGACATCATGGTGCTGCAGGAGGTGGTGGACTCCTCCAACAAGACCATCTCCTTCCTGCTGCAAGAACTCAGACGGTAATCCCAGCACTTGGGAGGATGAGGCAGGAGGATTGTCATGAGTTCGAGGCCATCTTGGGCTACATAGCGAGACTCTTGTCTCAAAAAACAAACAAACAAAACAGATGGTGAGCAGGACTCTGTGTATCCAAGTGGGGGCCACTGCACTGCAGGCCCCGACTCTACTTCTCCTTTCTGCAGCAAATTTGACAGCTCGAGGTGCTATGGCTTCCTCAACAGCTCACAGTTGGGGCGCAGCACATATAAGGAGAAGTATGTATACATCTACCGGTAAGCACAGGATGGGAAGTGGCACGGCAGTCCTGACCCTACTCTGAGATGGTTTGTCATCCCAGCACTTGGGACGCTGAGGCAGGAGGGTCTCTGAGAGTTCTAGGCCAGCCTGGGCTACATAGCAAGACCCTGTCTCAAAAAAAAGCAGCTTAAGGTCCTGGAAAGACAGGCTCCCTGCAGGGAGTTCTTTGGAATCAAAATTGAGAGAGTGGGCAAGTGGGGGACTGTCAGGGAAAGAGACCCGTTTTTCTATATGGGTGACATTAGTCTGAGATTTACTACAAAATAAGTACATCTCCTTGGTATCTATCTGGGAGAAATGAAAACATGTCTGGACATGAATGCTTGTTCACAAAAGCCCAAAAGAGACTCTTTTGCTATAGCCACAGCACTCTGGGAAAGTTCAAGCCCAGCCAAGACATGTTAGCAAGACCCTGTCTCAAAATAAAAAATCAGGGCCAGGGACTTAACTCAGTGGTTCTGCCACCTGCCTCATATGTGCAAGGACCCAAGTTCCATCCTGGTACCAAAAAAGAATCAAAATAAAAAATCAAAAAGACTGGGAATGCACAGCAGTGTAAGGCCCTGGGTTCAGACCCCAGTACAGCAAAAGAAAAAAAAAAAAAACCCAAAGTGGAGATGTTCACCAACTGGCCAACACTCAAGGTCCGGATATCCGGGAGCTGAGAGCCGGAGACAGAGTATGGTCCACTCATCTAGCAGCATCACTCAGCATTCAAGGGACAGAGGACACACACGCACCCCAGTGTGGGGACACCGAGGAACCATTGTGCTAAAGAGGGGAACTGAGCTGGTCACCCAAGGTCACATGGGATTAATTTCCATTCCCATGAAATGTCACTACAGGAAATTGATTATAGTGGCAGCCTGGGCCTGGGGGAGGGAGTGGAGAGGAACTGCCCATGGGTACAGCATCAGGGTCCTTCTAGGGGTGACAAAAGTGTTGGAATCGATTGTGACAGTTGCACATCCTTGAAATGGACTCAAAGCCATGGAGTTGTATACTTTAAATAGGTAAGGTTTAGGACAGGAGAGTTATACCTTCTTTGTGTACTGGGGATTGAACCTAGGGCCTTTGCACTGAGCCACATCCCCAACCTCTGTATTTTCGTTTTGAGCCAGGGTCTCACTAAGTCACCCAGGCTCAAACTGGTGACGCCCCTGCCTCAGCTTTCTAGAGTGCCGGGATTACAGGTGTTCAGCACCACACCTGGCTATGAATTATGCCTTGATAACAATCTCAAAAGCTGTAGCTGGTTCTTGGCATATGCCTGTACTTCCAGCTACTTGAGAGACTAAAGCACAGAGAAGTCCCAGCCCTACCCCCCCAAAAAAAAACATTCTAAGGGACTGGGGCATTACTAAGTAGTAGGGTGTGCTCTTAACATGGGAAAGGCCATAGGTTTGATCTCCAGCACCCCCCAAAAAAGACTGTTTAAATTTCTTTTAAAAGCTGGGCATGGTGGCTCACACCTGTCACCCAGTATGGTGTGTGTGTGGGAAGGGCCGGGGCAGGAGGATGGATGCAAGTCCGAGGCGAGCCTGAAGTACACAGGGAGACCTGGTCTCAAGAAACCAAAAATCAGTGATGTGGGGCAACTGTTTCCTGTCCTTTGTCCGCCCAGGTCTGACAAGACCCAAGTCCTGAATTTCTATCAGTATGAAGACAAGGATGACCTGTTTGCCCGGGAGCCCTTTGTGGCCCAGTTCACTTTGCCTAGCAAAAGTAGGAGGGGAGAAAGGTGGGAGAGTCTGGTGGGGCAGAGGGGGCAGAGGCCAGGCGAGGCCTGGGCTGGGTGGGGACCCTGGCTCTTGGGCCTTCCAGTCCTTTCTAGTGTGGTGCTGGTCCCACTGCACACGACCCCGAAGGACGTGGAGAACGAGCTGAACGCCCTCCATGTGGTGTTCCTGGATGTCGCCCAGCGCTGGCAGACCAAGGTTGGTCTGGCCAGGCAGCTGTCACAGGGGTGGGGACAGGGACAGGCTGGCCCAGGAGCCAGGCCCAATGCCTCTGCATCCTAGGACGTCATCCTGCTTGGGGACTTCAATGCCGACTGTGCCTCCCTGGCCAAGAAGCGCCTGAGCACGCTGCTGCTGCGCACTGAGGTGGGCTTCCGCTGGGCCATTGGTGACGGCGAGGACACCACGGTGCGGGCCAGCACCAACTGTACCTATGACCGCATTGTGCTGCATGGCGAGGCCTGCAGGGGGCTCATGCACTCGGCCACCGCCTTCAACTTCCCCCAGAGCTTCGGGCTCTCTGAGGAGGAGGTAGGTCTGGGGTGAAGGTGGATGGAGGGAAAGACACACACACACACACCTCACCTGTTGCATCCCCACCCTCCCAGGCTCTTGGCATCAGTGACCACTATCCGGTGGAGGTGGAGCTGGACTGGGCGCCGCAGAGTATGCAGTCCCCCAGCCTAGCCACCCTGCTGCTGCTGTCACTCCTGGCTCCTCAGTCCAGCCTGGTGGCCTGACTCAAACCCTGGACACCACCCACCCTACCTGAAGCAGAAAAAACTCCTGAGGGGGATTCACCTGTGACCCCGCCCCCATTTCCCTGTTTAGGTTGGCTTGTGGGGTTGTTTGGCTTTGAGCTGGAGACCAGCCTGACAAAAAGGGAAACTAACACCCTGGGAACAGAGCCGCCTGCAGGCAATAGGCCGGTGTAGGACTTGGTTGTACCCAGGGCTCACATGGGTGAGGTGCGTGCCCAGGATGAGATGAGCCAAGGGACCCCAAAAAGCCCACTGCCCTGCAACAAGGGTAGCCTGTAATGGGCCACAAGGTGCTAGGTGCAGACAGCAGTGCCAAGGCTGGTTACAAGTTGACAAGTCAGAAAAACTTGATAGCATCAGGGATGCTTAAGTGCAAACTAGTCATGTTTATAACCTAGTACCTCAAGGTCAAAAATAAAGGTAATCTTAAAACACCAGAAACTGCTCTACATGAAGATTATGAAAAATGGGGTAGGGTGATTTAGCTCAGCGGTGCTGCTCCTGCCCCATCTCACAAGTTCAATCTCTGGCACACATACAAAAATAAAAATGTCTCTGGAACCAGACCCCTGAACTCCTACAATTGGGGTCCAAGATAGACTCTGGCCAGGCCACAGTAAACTCCACTGTGGTTTTTGGGTGCATAGGACCTTGGGGAGTGGCCTAGGTGTATTTGTTAGCCAAGCCACTACTATAGGCAAGAAAATAGCATCAGGCAGGCCTAGCACTGCCAAGCCCTGGACTGAGAAAGCCCAATGGCAGGAACCACGCCCACACGGGAGGAAAGCAACCTGGTGTTTGTTCTTGGGGCAGGCTAACCCAGGCAGCCCTCAAAGCCCAGTCCTGGCCCTGCTTGACAATTTGCAGGTCTCCTTTCCACCCCTGCCCTCTGAATATTGGAGAACAAGTATGTGGAGCAGAAATAAGATTTATTGATGAACTTGTCAGGGGCAGGGGTGGCACAGTGGAAGCCTTCAGGAGTGCAAGGCCCGCCACTTGTCCAGGGGACCACGGTTCGGGATGTATTTCACCCCACAGCCATCAGGGATGAGGCGCTTCTCAGCCACCATGTCTTCAAATTCATCTGCATTGAACTTGGTAAAGCCCCACTTCTTGGAGATGTGAATCTAGGCAGACAATAAAGCCTCAGGGTTACTTCAGGGTGGAAGATTGCATCCAGGAATGAAGAGGGCTGCAGGGCTGCTTACCTTTTGGCGGCCAGGGAACTTGAACTTGGCCCTGCGTAAGGCCTCGATTACATGTTCCTTGTTCTGCAGCTTGGTGCGGATGGACATGATGACCTGTCCAATGTGAACCCTCGCCACTGTGCCCTGGGGCTTCCCAAAGGCACCACGCATACCTGTCTGGAGCCTGGATTGCAGATGGCAGGAGGTCAGATAATGAATATCCACCCGGCAGCAGTGTCTCCAAGGTCCCTTAGGGCAGCCCATACAAGCAACAGGCCACATACACTACCAAGGAGATTGCTGTTCGCAGCCACTGCACACTGGGCACCACCAGCAGAAGAACCCAGTCGGCTTAATTGACTGCAGCCTGTAAGACCCCCAGCCAAATGAAGTCCTGATGGTGTGGCAGGCAGGCAATCAAGCTGCCAGCTTTTTTGAGACAGGGACTGCCACTGTGTAGCCCAAGTTGGCCCTGAATTCCTGTCTCAGCCTCCCAAGTGCACAAGCAACAGCACATACACTACCAAGGAGATTGCTGTTCGCAGCCACTGCACACTGGGCACCACCAGCAGAAGAACCCAGTCGGCTTAATTGACTGCAGCCTGTAAGACCCCCAGCCAAATGAAGTCCTGATGGTGTGGCAGGCAGGCAATCAAGCTGCCAGCTTTTTTGAGACAGGGACTGCCACTGTGTAGCCCAAGTTGGCCCTGAATTCCTGTCTCAGCCTCCCAAGTGCTGAGATATCAGATATTCACCACTATGCCCAGCTTCCGGGACATGATGTTTAAACAGAGCCTGGAGAATGAGGTGCTATGTATGGCCTAGAAGCCAGGACTTACTCATGATACTTTTTGGGTTTTGCTGAGAAGCAGCTCTATCTGGCTGTAAAATGGGCACATACTAACTAAAACTCATTTGCTTTTTAAAAAATTAATCACCAAGAACAGCTGAGCTAAGGCAGGGTCACCGCCACACCCTGACTAGCTGCCAAATCCAGCACAGGGATCCCCAAGTTACAGGAAAAGACAAGCCCCACTTACCTGTCGGCCCCAGCACAGGACAGCATCTTGTTGATGCGGATGACATGAAAAGGGTGGAGCCGCACTCGGATATGGAAGCCATCTTTGCCGCAACTTTTTACCATGTACTTGTTGGCACAAATCCGGGCAGCCTCCAGAGCTAGAAGAGGAGAGGAAAAAAATAGTGCAAATCACTTAGCAGGACCTTGTTAACCTGAGCAAGGCTGCAGAAGGGCTGTGGTGTAGGGTCCCAAGAAAGTGTCACTGGCAAATAATGCCACCTTACCTTCGGAGGAGAGCTGCTCATACTCGTCGGACACCATGTGGCCACAGAGTGGGAACTCATCCACTTTTGCCTTCTTCCGCCCCAGGTCAAAGATGCGGATCTTGGCATCTGTAAAACACTTGGGTGAGTGTGGAAAGGTGTGGCAGGATCAGCAGAGGCAGGCATGGCCAAACCGGGTTCAGAGCTCTCCCACTACTTACCAGGGACGCCTCGGCAGAAGCGGGACTTTGGGTACGGCTTATTCTTACAATACCGGTAACTGCATAGGAAAAGAGTCACAAATTAACTCAACAAGCTGTTGAAATGTTCTCTAGACAACCACAGCCCTAGGGCAGCGAAAGGCAGGAATCTGTTACTTGGGAGGCCAAGGTAGCGGAATCCCACCTTGCAGGTTGGCCTGGGAAACCCACAAGAGGGCTGAAAAGGAAGCTCAGGGCGAGCAACTGTGCACAAAAACAACTGCATGAGATGCACACACACCCTTAGGCCCAAAAGTCAGAGAGCAGTGGCAGGAGGATCTCTTAAGCCCCGAAGTTCGAGGCTGACACCCCAAAAGCGTTTTGATCTCTTCTGAGGTGATAGGGATCACACCCAGGCCCTCTTTGGCACTTAATTACATCCCCAGCCCCACGCGGGAGGAAAAAAAAATCAACAATGAGGGCTGGGAAAAATGAATATCCAACAAACTGTTTCCATCCACAGAAAATGGCTTTACATTTCCTCTAAAGCAATACTCGGAACAGGTAGCCCCAACAGAACACCCAGATTAATACTAGAGTTAATACTTCTGTTACCACCCCCACCAAGTTTGCTCCTGACAAGGCCAATACTTTACTTCATACCTCCCAGCTTAAAAACAACCCTCAAGGGGCTAGGGATTTAGGTCAGTGGCTCCGCCGCCTGCATCGCAAGCGCAAGGTCCCGAGTTCGATCCCCGGTACCAAAAATGCCCACAGCTTTTCACAGTACTGCACTACAGTTGGGCGCATAGTACAACAGTCCAGCCACCCAAGCCGACTTCCGGGCACGTGGTATGGAATCCGCCTCCGCGCCACGTGAAGAGCGCCAGGCGCCCCCTGCAGACCGAGGGGCGACAGCGCACGAATCGCCCTTGCTACCCGATTTAGAGCACACATAAGACTCCGGGAAATTAAGATAGGATTCGCATACAAAGACCCCAAGAGTCATCCACCTCCTACATCGCGGCGATGTAGGAGAGCTGGATGCAGGCGGAGGTCGCTTCCAGCCCAACGCTGGTGCTACACTTGTAGTCTCGGGCCAACCCGCCACCCCAACAACAAAATCAACGAAGTGCTGGAACTTTTAAACAAAAACATATAGTGCAAAGAATAAAAGCGAACAGGGAAATGTTAGGGGAAACATGGTCTCATCCCAGGACGAGAGCGGGACACGACGGAGGCTCCACCCAAAGGTCCAAGGAGCCAAAAGCTATAAACCCTCCTGATCCCCCAGCAGCGAATTCAGGAGGATTCGGCACTCACCACCGGGCGGGACGGCGTCCCATGGCGACACCAAGGATCTTCGGGGGCTGCGACCAAACAAGTAAAATTGCAAGAGAAAATGAACACAAGTGTCAGGGTACAACAAAAAGAGGGAGGAACCAAACCACCACTAAGCAAGACACTCACCGGAGCCGAAGGAAAAGAGGCGCTCCCACGCCTGCGCACGCCTTATATACGTGGCCTAGCGTCACACGCAGGAACCATAGAGTCGCAGCGACAGCCAGTGGGGCGCTCTATCAGAAGTCTGGACCATAGATGGAGCGGTGTTCTGCGCCTGCGTGCGGGAGCGGCCCCGCACATGCGCAGAGCGGAGAGGTGACGAAATCGAAATTTTGAGCGACCTTCTAGCAAATGAGTTTTGGACACATAGATTTGAGGAGCCAGCTTCCGGCTGGCCATTTTGGGCGTAGGACACATGCCCTGGAAATTACTGTAATTAAAACACACGAGTTGAAAAAACGACTTTTGGGTGGGACTTGCGGCGAATACGCAGGTGTTCCTTAGCTTTCGGAGCCCAGGACTGGCACTCCAGGCTTCCTAGGCGCCATGCTGGGGCCTCAGCCCGCCTTCCTTTGTCAACAGAGAGGCTGCAGAGGGCGATCGGCCCCTCCCGGAGCGCCCCTCCCTTAACCGACAAACCTGCAGCAGGCCTTGGACCGAGACCCAGTTCCCCAGAGACCGGCGTTGGCCTCCAACCAGAGGAGGCGGAGAAGGAGAACAGCAGGCGCTCGCGCGCGCCCACTGAGCTACACCCTCCCATCCCCGTCCACTCCTGTACATCCGGAGAGAAGCGTCGCCCTTCCTGGGGAGATTCCGGGAGTGGGTGGAAGGTGGTGATACCAGCGGCATAGTGACTGAGTACACCCCAGTCCCCCTCCAGCTCTAACCTCTGCTTCCTGTGAGCTTCACGCGCCCCAAGGTGGCTGTCCCCCTCCTCCCATCCCCCACACCCGAAAGTGGCTGGCATGTATCCAGGCAGGTTCCCGCCGTTATACCAAGCCAGCGAGAGAACACCAAATACCAGGGACACATAAAATTGAAAGAAGTTTATTTCACGAGTGCCGACTCCACTTCCTAAGAGAAGTGAAGCCCCGTTACAGGATTATGTATAGGTTTTATAGGATTTTTCAAAACAAAAAGTTCAAACGTAGGTCAGGGTTTTCTCCCAGTTGCAAGGAGGAGAAACTTCAAACACATTTATGCATCTTACCACTTATAGGGGTAGTGTTTTATGGCCACCTTTAACATACCATTTTCCTGTGCAGGCTTGCAATTAGAGCAAGAAGGTTTTTGCAGTTTAAGCAGTTTTCGCTGTTGTTTGATAAGGGGAGGGGAAAACAACAATCTCTGGGGTCATTAGCCGGCCAACATGGGGTCACTTTAGCTGAGTCGGGTCTCACACCTGCCAGCCTGACCATGGTCACTCCACCACACAAACACCAGGTCCCTACAGAGGGAGGTAGGCAGAGTAGGCACGCCGGTCACCGGAGTCCTATCGTCCAAGATTGTGACAGTGGGGATGAGGGAGGCAGTATGACTCCTCCCCTGGTCCCTAAGAGTGGGGTCTGCCAGTGAGAATCCTGCTTGCTCTCTGGCACACCTGTTTTGCCAGATGAGAAGTCACTAAAGTACATGGCGGAAGGTCCCTTTGGGGAAGGCTTGGGAAGATGTGGTTTCACAATTCTTCCCAGCATAGGATTCTGGGTTCTGCACTGACTTAGGTCTCCAACGCAAGTGAAACACTGAGCCCATTGGGTCCCCTGAAGTCAGGAACTTGACTCTCAAATCTAGAGCATTTCCAGTTAGACACATTAGTCCCTGACGGAGTAGGCTGTGCTCTTTTCTTCCTGGAGACCCTGAGATTCATCAGGCCTCGGCAGAGATGTCTGTGTGAAGGCCTTCTCAGTGTGTGCATCCCTGCTGATCTCCACAGGAGCTATGCCCACCTTGTACTGGGCAGCTGCCACAGTATCTGTTATACCAAGGTGCCACCACACCACAGGGGCCAGGGAGAGACCCTGTCAGCAGCCCCATGCCTCAAGGATGCAGGACTGTTGAGCAAATGCCCACAGAGCTCTTACACATAGCAGGGCCTCACAGGGGCTTGTGAGCACAGTGGCAAGGCAGGCCATGAAGGTCCCAGGATGGACCCACTCCAGTTCTCCTCCTTCCTAAGGCTTTGGATTTGCCTCTGGATTGCAAGCTAGGGAATCATGCAAGAAATTCAGGCCACCACTGACTTTGAGTTCCAGTTACTTAAAAAAGAGCTATGAGAGGTAGCAACACCTACATGTGCAATCCACTCAACTTGGAATGTGGAGTAAGTGTCACTTATGTGACATTGCTGATAAACAACTCTGGAGCCAGTCAGGTACCACAAACTTTACCCTACCACTAAAGGACCCACTTCTGAAGACATTCCCTAGGATTCTACTGGTCCATATGCACAAATCCTCTAGTTTTACTGAGGGTAAAACCCAGAGTTTGCAAACTGAGATACATCCCCAGACCTTACAATTTTTTTTTTTTAATTTTGAGATAGGGTCCCACTGAGTTGCCAAGCTATTCAGGCTACAGTCAAATTTGCACTCCTCCTGCCTTGGCCTACAAGAGCACTGGGATTCCAAGTGTATACCACCACACCCAGCAAGGTCATCAAAATTCTTCTCCTTGGCAAATACTTCCACTTAAGTAGATCTGTTTGGGTGACTGAGGTGCGATGGAAGTATCCGTGTGCATCCAGTGACAAAAAGGAGCCCCTGCCAGACGTGGAGGCACACACCTGTAATCCCACCAGTAGGGAGGCTTAGGCAGGAAGAATGCTGTGAGTTTGAAGCCAGGCTGGGCTACAGAGGGAGTTCAAGGCCAGCCTGGACAACACAGCGAGACCTTGTCTCAAAATCAGAGAATGAAGGGCCAAGGATTTAGCTCAGAGGCAGTGCACCCACCTCACAAGGGTCCTGTGGCTAGGGATTTACTTAGTGGTGCCACCCTCTGCCTCACAAGGGAAAGGTACTAAATTTGACCCCGGTACAAAAACAAAAAATTCCCAAATTTGATCCCCAGTACAAAAAAACAAAAAGAAGAAGAAGAAAGAAGAAGAAGAAAGAAGGAGGAGGAGG